TATTTGATATGACGAGCTCATATTCTGCACACAACTGTAATAGCATTTCTCCATTGCTGTTTTGATCTGTTTCCCTGTCACTGTGTGGCCGCATGTATCTCTCCCACGTCGTCTTCCTTGTTTCCACTCTGCCGTTAAAGTCCCCCATCATTGTCACATTATCTTTGTCATCCACGGTGTTTAAAAGGTCACTCAGTTGATCATAGAACTGGTGTCGCTGTTTTTCGGGATATGAGCCATTGCATGGTGTACCCTCAGTGAGTAATTGTCATATTCTATGGTGATTTCCCGCTTTATACCATACTCGTTGAATTTTTTTTCATATTTTTCAAGTCTGTGTTATGCTTGAGTTTAACGACACTTGCAACACAAATTAGGTCATATAAGCCCCGAAGATTAGAGGTGTTACAAGAGAGTAACATACACAGAAAAGAACGAAGAGAGATAAGGACGGTTGATTGTTAATAGGGAAAAAAGGAACAAACCACACCCCAGAGCACCCGCCAACCTCCTGCTTGAGTTATGCATGCAAGATTGAAACTGCTTTCAATTTTAATCATTTTCCCCCAATAGCAAGTTACAGAACTCTTTAAAACAAAATGAGTGATGTTTTTCTTTTGAAAATCGGACCATCATTAGGGAAAGTGTGCCCGTTTCTTTTTTGGGATAACAGTCATTGGACTCTCGACGTCACGATTATGACGTAATTAAACGGTAAATAGAATTTTCCTCTTATTGTACTTGACTTTTATTTTTATACATTGATTCTACATAAAACAGCAAACAAAATGATACCCCAATGGTCACGATACAACTATTATTAAGGATTTTATGACGTTGTGAAGCAATATTTCGAGTTTTGGTGGCACAAAAAGCAGTGCAAAAATTTGGCCAAATCGGGGCGAAAATTGATTCATAAAAACGGTCGCTGCTTCTAAACTAACAAAGATAGCACCAAAATTTAAAAAGTTCTGAAAACAAAAAGCCAAGCTCTTTTCAATAATCCAAATCTTAGTGCCGTCGGAGAAGTTTGAAAATTTCACTGAAGTTATATTATAACACAACCCCATTATAACTGACTGAAATTGAACTCCGCCGTCAACCGTGGTCTGGTGGTACGATCAAAATGTACTTTTTTCAGTCGGTAATTTACCGTAAAAGGAAGTTGATGTCGCACTCGTGCTGTAATGTAAATGGGATACATGTGCTCCATACTCCATATTGACCAAATAATATTCCTGGTATACTTGAAACTTGTTCACTTTTGTTTGTCCGCGCTGAAAAAAAAATGTTTTAGCTCATTTATTAATTTGCAAATGCTTCTAGTGCTGGCTTTGTATGACGGTCATTCCTCTCAGCCAGCCAGTAAAATTAGAATCTATTATACATGTATCTAAAGTAAAGGCCATTTTTGTCATTGTCATTCGAACAAAAATTATGGCTTTCAGGTGGATGGTTTTATCAGGGCGATGTTATGGCACATGCTGGAGAGGGCTTTGCTGACACAAAATATGCTCTACTCAATGGAAAGATGGTCTACTCCAGTCGCCTGTGTCTTCCCTCTACTGACTGGAATCATCTAAAAAGTTAGTTTTTCAAGTACACAGTGAGGACGACCTTTTCGAAGTAAGTCGAACCGAAAACTTCAGTTACTTTGCTATCCAAAACAATCAGCATGGACTGCGAAAAAATAATGGACTCTAGGGTCCTCACGACATAAATTTACATTTTAATTACGCCTGCCTATAATTATAATAATATATTATTTTTTAGGCAAAGATCCTGTAGAATCTTTGGTAGCCTACACACAAACATCCTTTTACTTTTATACTAATAACTATTTAAAGAATAGAGTTTTTGACTATTCGACCTGGGTTCGAATCGGAAGTGGGGGGAAAGAGTGGAAAAATAAAATAAAAGAAAGAATTAATCTCTAGGTGAAGTGGAAGGTAAAGGTAAAAAGCAGAGAAGGTGGTAAAAGCCTACTTTCCGCTGTCTGATTTGGATAGGATAGGCCTTACTAACTTAGTAACTGGTAAGGCGACTTCCCACTTCCCACTTCGCAAGGGCTAGTCACGGCCGCGAGTCTGCGAACTGCGAGCGATGATCGAGGCACGAAAAGGGGCGGAGCGAAGAAGTCATGAATGAACATCGTTCGGTGGAACGGAATCTGTCTCTCCGATGTCGCTTGAAACGATAATACGTCTTTAACACATATTTACTCATGCCGCGACGAACACTTCTATTTCTACGCGAGCTGAAATCGATAGATATTAGTATTACAGTATTAATTTCTTTAACTCCTACGCTCGCCTGCTACGCTCAATGGCTTGGCAACAATGCGAGGAATGTCAAGCACTACGCAACAGGAAGTCGATCTATCTAGACTCAGGATTTGCCGGTTTGTCATGCAGAGATTGCAAATTTCTGCACAGTTCTGCATTTCTGTTTGGCTAGTAGGCCTTCCCTACTAAAAGCTGAATGACGTCATTGAAAGGACCGAAAATAAAATGTAAGAACACGCTGCATGATGACATTTATTTATTCGGCTAGACATAGAACCACAACAACGGGTGTATTATGAGGTCGATTGAATATTGTTTTTGTTGTTGTTGTTGTTTTGGGTTTTTTGCTTTTTTATTTATTTATTTATTTATTTATTTATTTATTTATTT